ATACACTTCGACAGCTCACCCATACATCAACTCTAGCTATAAATTTTGTGGAATTAGTGTTAATTTGATGAAATTGGTTGTCAAGTTTTATTATCAATCATTCTAATTGGATGACATTGAGGAAATTTGGGAATGTTAATCGTAGTGGTCTCATAGGTTGTGACTTTGATAAGGATCTCTCTTTTTTGTTTCCATATTTTTGTTCCCTCTCATGGTGTGTTTTTCAGGATGTTTTGTCTGATAGAGGTCCATGAAGATTTTTTTTTATAACCAGTCCTTAGCTGTTTAATTTTGGGAATTATATTCTTCTATTACTCCAAAAACATTTGGGCTTTGTAATTTGCAACAATCTTGTTTTGTATTGTGTTTTAATTTATGCACTTTTACTTCATATGCAATGTTCATCAACATTCTTAATGTTGTGACAAACGAAGCCAAGTAAATTGTTCATCAATATTTGTCGAAGCCATTGATGGGTTTTGTTGTAATATTTGATGGTTTCCTATGGGGAGTTTCATCTCTAATTTTTTGTGGGTATTGATTTTGATGTAATTTAGTTTAACCCTCTGTTTTTTTCGTTGGAGCCTTTGGTGAGTTTTGCTCCAATTTTTTGTGGTCTTGCTATGACGGTTCAACTAGATTTAAAGTGTTCTACTTTGTGTTCATTGAATGACTAATTCACTATTGTTTTGCAACAAATGTTAATACAAGAATTAACCATCAAATGATGATGTCTTTCATATGCAAAACCATCTTTTAGGCCCCTACGAGTTAGATATACAGACCAGTACATAGTTGACGGGTGGTTCAAAAAAAATTTACTTGATAGGGGATAAATGAAGCTAGGACAATAGGCAATTTATTTGCATAATAAAATGTTTAGGTCCCTATCAGTGGTAGTGCTTTTTATTGTTGTTTTGGTCAAGAAATGCATTGGTTATACAAGAAGTAGTGGTGGTCATGTTAAGGCTTTTGTATCCTTTTATTTATTCAACTATCTTAGCACTATTTTGGTACGACATTATTTGGGTTCAGTAAAATGGGCAAGTGCGCATAAGTGTGTTTTTGTTCTTTGTTTGGTGAATGTGAACTGATTTCATACATTGTTTTTAGGATTTGTTTGGTCTGATTAGAATTATTGATTGTTTTGGTTGTCAGGTTTGGAATGCTAAATTTGGATTATTGACGGAAATGCTACAGACGAATTTTGAGTTTAAGGGTTGCATGTGTTCATTTGCTTACCCATATCCATTAATGATGATATCAATGTCTACACATGTACCATAGTTCTTCTTTGTCCATTGGTAAGGGCATTGGGCACCAGTAATGTTTTTATTCATTTACATGTTGACATTTTTTGTTTTAGATTAGTTTAGTGTTATATTAATTAAACCTGATAAAAAATTGATAACGTAGTTGTGATGGGTTTTCTAGAATAAGCTTGCTTCGTATATATATAAGTTATATGCATAACTACCTATTTTTCTTTTTCTGAACTACGTATATGATTTAATTGGTATGATTCTTATATTAATTTGGATGATGGCATTGGTGATGATTTGTGAGATGTTCGATGATGGCATAGTGAAGTACTGTTATTGTCAACACTGTTATTGTTGAAGCTTTTGATTTGTGCATTAAAAATCAACACCCACCACCTTTTTGATGATTTGTGTGAAAAAAATTCCACAATCAAATCCTAATTGTTTGATGCTTTGCATAATTTGTTCCATTAGATATGTTAATTTGTGTGTGCAAGCTCATGATTTGTTTGATTTTTGTAAGCAAATAAGTTTCTCAAGACTTGATTCTCTCATGATACTTTAACCTGTTTAGTCTCATGTTTGAAGATTTAAAACCATTCTAATACGAACCTTAATAAATTGTTCAATGAGAACATGATTTTCTTAACAAGACCCTCAATGACATCACATTTCCCCAATGTTTGCTTACCTTTTGTATTTCTGAATATGAATTTTGGTTTAATTTGATCTTTGCATTATAGTGCCTATTAGTTCAAGTTCTTTCAAAAATTAACATGCATGAGTTTGATCTCCTTTCTTTTCTATGTGCATGTTTTGTGCTATTATGAAGGATAACAACAACGATCCATGGAACTGATTGACTTGAATTATATGCTAATTCTATTAGTTTTTTTTTTTTTCCTTTCTCTTACGTTTTCTTAATCTGTAGCTTTGTTTTAGTTAAGAACAACACTTAAGATAAAATAAAAACTTATTGTCATGTATTATTTCTATTGTTATTAATTGCCAAGGAGAAATCCAGTATACTCTACCATATTTTGGAGATCTTGAGGGCCTATTGGGGTTTTCATGTTCAACCAATACTGATACTGAGTTCGTTTTTTTGGTTCTTTGAATCCTTTTTTAGATTGAACTTCTTGAATAATTGCATTGAAACCATATCAAGTTCGATTTCTAATTTTTGAGTTGGGTTGGTAATTGGGTGAAGTGCTTGGTATTATTAGTTTCGATTATTGCCAATCTATTTTTTTCTTGGGCCTTTTTTCTACACCAATTCATACGTTGCCACTTTTTGCTTTTGAATTATAAGTCTAAACAAAGTTTGATTTTAGATGTAGAGAGATATATAATGAGATGATTCTAAATTTGATTTTATGCTTAGAAGGATATATTATGAGACAACTTTCATTTAAGGTGAATGAATGTTTTTAGAAATCTCATTTCAAACTAATGTTATTCTTTTCTTTCTTCACGAGCGTCCTAGTATACTTCGTGAATTTTCATGTTTAAAGGAGTTAACATGTATAATTTCGTTGTTCCTGCAACAGATTTTTTTATTGCTTCAAATTGATAATTGTGGATTTCATATTACTATTATGTTGTTGCAGTTATTGATAAACAATTATATTGAGGCGGGAATGTCATGTGATAGCGAGTGCAGTGATTAGTTTTGGGTTGTGCTTTCTTTAAACATGCATTTACCAAATCACTAGCATTGAAATTCTAGAGTACTATTTTCAGAAGAAATTTTTGCCAAAAATTTCTTTCTTTTTTTCTCCAACTTCTGTACTATTTTTATGCTCTCTACCCAAAGTTTGGTTGTCTATTACGAACAGCTTGCCACCATATCTGTCAGTTACCCTTTTTTGTTGGAAGGATATATATTAGTTAAAATACTACTTATGAATTGTTGGGCTGCTGATGAATGTATTTAGTTTCCAATTTTTTCATAATTGATCACCAAATTGTAGTTTTTTTTTTATTGGTTTAGGTGAAATTTGGATCTATATTGTTTGTTGTAACAGGTTCATGGAGCAAGAGGATGGCTACCATGAGGTGCTCCTAGGTCAAAGAATGAGCATTGAGAGTAGCAATCAATACAATTTTGCAACTACCGGCAAGTGTATTATATAATTATGATGATTTATCATTGTTTTTTTTTCTTTACCCGGAAGGTAATTATTTATCATTGTTAATGGTTAATATCACTATGATGTTGTGATAGTTTGTAGATAGTTTTGTTTAGCCTAGACTATGGTATGATGGAGATTTTTGTAATTAGTCTAGATATGATTATGAGATATATAAATTTTGTGACAAGTTGATATTTATCTGGACTCCTATTTTTAGAGGAAATTTTATCAAAATGTTTTATAAAATTTGCTAAGGCCAGATTGAATTCAATTTCTCTTAGTCAAGCAATGGAATGAGGAATGTTCCAAATCAACAATTTTTTTTTTTTTATTACATGGTCTCTTTAGGCACATGTTGTCTATGGTTTGGACATTTTTAGTATTACCTTAGGTTTTGTGTCATTTATATTTTCGAAGCAAAATTTGTCTATGATTTTGTCAACACTTGTTGTGTCTAGCATGGGTTATTGCTAGTAGATTAATAACACCATAACTTTTGGCAATGAATATTTTGAAGTAAACTAACTAGTTAAATGGTAGTTTTGATTCTTTTAATTAGTCACGTTCAGTCATTCACCTTGTTCGTATATCATGATTAGGCGATTTATATTTATTTGAAAGTGAGTGTTTATTTTTCAAATTTAAAAGAATTTAATGAAAATCATAATCATCAAATCGCCAGATAATATTAAATGTAATATATTTTATTATAGACAGATTCTAATCATATCAATATCCTACAATTTTAGGTTTTGCGCAGCACTATATCTATATTTTATTGTATTCAAATCCTATATACATATCTTAGGTAGGGTGATTGATAAGACATATGCTTCCTTAATTATAGACATTCTGGAGGCCCTAGTGACTGTGGATGACTGGATTGAATTGCGAATAGAGAGACGTAAGCATTTACCTCTGTACCACACTAACACTTCATATCAATTATATTGTTGGAGGTTTTTTTTACCTTTGTTTCAATAGAGATTCTTCTACAATATAGAGATGAGGAGACCAAGAAACAAAGTAACAAAAACTCTTCAGGCCAAAATCTGTAAGACTTTATGTGATTTTTAGGAGTAAACAAATCACTATTTTTGTTGAATGTGAACAACCGGGTAAAACTGCTTGGGAACCAATTACCGTACAACTTGGCCAGGCTTTATCAATTAGGGTTGTTATGGATTCTTTTGGGTTGAACAGATTTAGGTCACGTTCAACTTGTGGATGGGTTTGGATTTGCAGATTTCGAGTGTCATCAAATTCAAAATGGGAATGATAATCATAAAGGACCAGATTTTTAGATTGAAATTCCAAATGTTATGGGTTTGAATAAACGTTATTTTTTTTCAAATCCATCGAATAAAAATATCACATCGGATAAGAAGTTTTAATAAAATTCAGATGTAACAAAATGGATCCACATCCAATCAGTAATGAAGCCTAGCTATAAGGCTACTACAGACAATATTCTATTATGGACAAAATTCATAATAGATTATTATGAGACAGAGGCTGAAAAGGATGCTACCCACAGATTAGAGTGTAAATGATGAAGAGAAGAATGATTTCTATGTTGTGAAGTGTAGAATCCCAACCAACTTCAGGGAATTTTCCCATAATCAATATATGATACCTACACATTAAGGTACATCGTTGTAAGGTCACTTAAGGGAAAAATATTCGTGCCAAATTTGGAATATTCAGTTAGGTGAATGGCAATGGAGAAACAAAAAAAGATCCAATAACAGGTGAAAGCTCTTGTGAGAAACTACAGAAGGCACCTATTTAGGAGGACGCCACTACAAATTCAATTTTGGCAAGTGTTATTGGGATTTGGGGTAATTCGGGTGAGTTGAAGGTTGGCTTTATCTTCAGCCTAGTGTTAAGGAACACATGGCTTTTCAGACTGGCAGGAACCAGAACAAAAATGAGATAGAAACTTGAGCCCTCTTTGATAGTCGCAGGGAAGTACCCATGATAAATTTGTGTCATTTCTGCATTTAAAGGTGATTCATACTTTCAGGGGAAAAAATTTTCCAAATCATGGAAAGGGAAGATTTTAGCAATAGATTCACATAACATCTGATACAAGGCATAAGGTTGTATTATATATTTAAACATTAACAAGATCTTATTTACCAGTGAAGTTCTTAATTTCTGCAATTTTTGGATTTCTCAATTTAGTCAGGTTATACAAACTTTTCTCTTTCAGCTTATGCTTGCTCCTCCTCATACTAGGATGAATGGAAGCTCAAAATGATGACTTAGTAAAGTAAAAGGTCGGAAAGGTAGAAAGAAATTATACTAGTAATTCTAGCACTATATACTAAAACAGAGGATGAGGTCAGGTTTCTATATTATACATGTGCCTGCCGATATACTTCAACTTTGAACTAAAAATGTACAAAAAGGTGACAGTTGAATAAAGCTTACAAAAATGTTGAATACCTGCAACTTGTTATCAGTTCCTAGTTTGTGTAGTGTTGAATTACAAACAGCCCACGAGCGCCGAGCAGATAATTGTCCTTCATGTTTCTTGGGATATTTAAGAAATAGGTGGCAGCTGACAGCATACTTTAAAACTGAATCTCCAAGCAACTCTAAACGCTCCATGGAAAAACTCTCATTACATCTTAGCGTTGTGAGAGCTTCCAGAATCTAATTGTAGAAGAGATACATTACAGAACAAGAAGTTATAGATTACAGAATAAAAGCAATCAATTTTTCATTTTCTCTCGATGAAACAACATACCAATGAGCTTGATATGTTTAAGTTGTCAGAATGACATGCAATCTCTTTTCTAAGCTGGCTGGCCAACATCAGGGACTCCACACGGTGCATTACAGATGGTAGCAAGTAAAAAGTCCTTAAAACATCTATCCCCACATCAATACTGACTAGAAGTTCAGGTGGCATGTGAACATGATTTTGTGATTTTTCAGGACCCATTTGACTGCCAGCTTGTGACTTCTTTCCACATGAAGTACCTGCTAATTCAAAAGTTACCATTAGGAATTGATTGTCCACAAAGTGAAGTTGTAGGGCTAAATCAAAGCCAAAATAATATTTGCTACTTTAGAAGAATTGCAGAACACAAAAAACACTGAAACCATTTAGTCCTTTAACAGTACAGAGTTTAGGTCACATTTGTTCAGGACTTTCACACGTTGATATGCTTAGGTGCAAAATGCAAAATGACAAACTCATGTTCAGATGTTTAACTGGGTTCCACAAGTATATGTAATTTCAAGAAAAGTAAAGAGGAGTAATTATCTTCTAAAACTGCGGGAGGAAGCTTAGTTCAAGAAGATAGGAATAATGAACAGAATAGTTATGCCAGAATTATCACACATTTTTTATGCAGGCCCACAATAATAATGATAAGGTCCTCAAACTAACTTTCTGAACTATTTACATATCTAAGCTTATGACCGTATAACTAAAATTCTACAAGAGTATTAATATTAGGGGTAGTTTAGGCATTTCCCTTTTTATGTATTGCCCTACTATATAAGGGCCTACATTATGCATTCTAGGTTAAATTGTAAAACAATGCTACATGGACATTATTTAGTGATCTTATTTTGTGACCTTATAATTCTGTGTCATTAGATTGACAGTAGACCCCGCTATCACTTGAGAAGCACTATCAATTCAATGGTTATGATTCATTATGTCACCAAATAAGGTCACTAAATTAGGTAGAAATAGCATTTCCTTAAGTTGTACTACAGACCTTTTTAGCAATAATTATATTTTTTCTTCCTCCTTTCACTTAAAGTTTTCATGGTATTAGACATGATTTCGATCCAAAACATATTATAACACCATAGTAATTTAGTTGGAGAAAAAAATATGTTCTTGGATTAGGGATGACATCATCTATGGCGATTTCTTGCATTTTTTTCGATTTCTTTACTTCAAACCAAGCCTAAATGGTGCGACTAAAGGTTCTTGTTGCTTGGTTGTGTAATTTGAGGGCTAGTGGTTGACGGTTTGCTAATTTTTTTGTGGTTCTATGGACCACGAACAGTATCAAAAATTCAATATGTTGATACCATTTTGCTGTATTTTTGTGTAAAAACCTCAATTAGTTGTGGATATTTGATTTGCAAGGCTATCGAATTGATTTGTGATGAACTTTGGGCTGTTTGGTGTCAAGTAATTTGATTGTTGTATGCTCTGTTGGTCTCTAAGTTTGCCGCTGATTTGCTAGACTGTAGTTTTCATCCCCGGTTACTGGTTTGCAGCATTTTTACTACTGGTTTGCTCTGTTTCTTCTTTGTAAAGTTGTTGCTTCATCCTTTTGGTTCTGGTTTGTTAGGTTTGGTAGTCTGGACTCCGGACTATGTAAGAATTTTGACTAATGGGCTATTGAGAATATTGCTAGTCTGATCTTTGCATCTGATTTGCCTTGATCACATTTGGGTGTCATTGGACCAACTGAATATTGGGTTCACTATTGATTGGTTGCTGGTAATTGGCCTCAAATTTGGCTTTGGATTGGGCTGGTTATTGGCCTTAAATTTGGCATTGGGCTTAATTGTTAGTGTGGTTTCTAGTTGCCTTGGCTGCTGGTTTAGATTGGTCTTCTCTTGTGGACTTTGATCTTTCTGGATTTTGGTGGTCCTTTCATTGAGCTTTAGAGGTTTGGACTCTAGATTTGGGTTAATTGCAATAATGGCTAGTGAAAACACCAACTTTCTTCAAACTATGATTGTTGATCAGTTGCAAAAGCTTCTTTAACAGCCTAATACTTTCTCAATCTATCATTTCATAGGTTTGTTCACTTTGGGTCCAAACCACTTGGGTCTTTACTCAGGCTTTTCACATCACATGACAAGTGATACTTCCTCATTTACATCTACCTTCTCTCCTCCATCTATATCAATGCTTACAGCCAATGGTACCCAAATGACCTTGATCAGTGTTGGGTCTATTATTTCTTCGTAACTAACACTTCCCAAGTTTATTATATTTCTCTGCTTACCTTGAATTTAATTTTAGCTAGTCAGTTAATTGAAACTGGATTTTCAATTTATTTTTCTTCTTCTGGTTATGTTGTGCAGGATCTACATTCCAAGAAGTTGTTTGGGACAGATAGTGAAAAAGGAGGATTGCATGTGTTGAACGAGTTGCATATTCTAGTTATTGTTACTTCTTCTATTGATTTGTCTTCTTTTCATTTGAATATACAGTCTTCTGGCTTTTCTTTGTAATATTCTTGTCTTGGTCATATTTCTCATTCACATTTAAAATTTTTAGCCTGTACTGGAAGTTTGGGTAATTTAGAGTGTCATGATATTTCTAACTGTAATGGGTACAAGTTAGCTAAATTCACTATATTACCCTTTAAGAAAAGTTCAACTAGCTTTCTTGCACCTTTTGATCTAGTCCATTCAGATGTACGGAGACTTGCTCCTATTCCCACTAAAGGAGGGTCCAAAAATTATATTTCGTTCATTGAAAACTATATCAGGTATTGTAGGGTCTATCTAATGAAGAATCATTTTGAATTCTTTTCTGCATTCACAGCATGTTGTGCTATGATACATACTCAATATTCTTCTACTATTAAATGCTTTCAATGTGACCGAGGAGAATATTCTTTCAATTCTTTTCATAATCTATTAAAATTTGATAGCACTATTTATCAATCTTCTTGTATTGATACACCTTAACAGAATGTTGGTAGAACACAAACACCAACATATTATGGAGAGCTCTCCCTTGCTGTCGGCATATGTTCCAAGTTCATTTTAGGAGAAAACAGTTCTTACTGCAGTTCATTTAATTAATTACATTCCAACTATTCTTGCTTTGGTGTTTCTCCATTTGAAAAGTAGTATGGTAAACCCCTTGATTTCTTCTCTTTACATGTCTTTGATTATTCTTGTTTTCTCTTGCTCCCAAGTATTCTACATACCAAGCTTTCTGCTCAATCGGCCTTATGTGTATTTCTTGGTTATGGTGAGGGTAGAAAGGGATATTATTGCTATGACCCAATTAGGCACAAACCTTATGTCTCTCACCATGTTGTCTTTATAGAACATATTCTTTTCTTTTCGATTCTCTCTTGTTCTTCATTTGTGCATAAATATGATGTTCTCAAGGATACATATGTTAGTGATATAATTGTGTCTGATTTGACATCTTTTTCTTCTTTTCTGATATGTCTGTTACACATCCTCTATTGTGCATACTTATGTTCACAAGACTCCTGTTGTCTTTTCTACAAATGCAGTGCCTCCTCTTCTACTTCTGTCACTCAAGCAGGTTCCAATATTGTGGACCATGTTGCTCGCTATCCTCAGCGCTCTCAAAAATGTCCAGATATGTTTGGTTTCTCCAACTCTTGTTATTCTTCTAATTTTTGTGTCTTTCTCACTTCTATTTATTTTTTGTCCAAGCCCACCTCATATAAAGAGGCTATACTTGATTCTCTTTGACAACCGGCTATGGATGAGGAGCTATTTCTCTTACATAAGACTTAAGCTTGGGAATTAGTTTTTTTACCTTCTGACAAACACACCATTGTAAGTAAATGGGTTTATAAATCAAAACCAAATTAGATGGTACTGTGGAAAGATATAAGGCTAAGTTAGTAATTAATGGATTTGCTCAGGAGCATGGGGTTAGACTATGATGAGACTTTTGCCCCTATTTCCAAGATGACTACTATTCGTTTTGTGATTATCGTAGCTGCCATTCCTCAATGGCACTTGTCTCAACTTGATGTGAAAAATAATTTTTAGAATGGATGCTTACATGAAAAAGTTTTTATGACTCCTCCACCTGGATTATCTCATAATTCTGATCAAGAATGCAAACTTGGCAAGGTATTATATTGACATAAACAAGGTCCTAGGGTATGGTTTTCTAAGTTCTCCTCAATCATATGCGACTTGGATTTCCATGCCAGTGATCATGATTCTACTCTCTTTTTATGGTCCACTTTCTCTGGTTCTATTATTCTCCTACTTTATTTTAATGAAATGATCATTATTCATTACTGGTGATGATATAACTGGGCATCAGACTATTAAAACCCAGTTGCTGGATCACTTTAAAATGAAAATGTGGGTCAACTTCAATATTTCTTAGTGATTAAGGTTACTTCTTCTCCCAATGGTTATCTTATTTCTCAATCTAAGTATGTATCGAATGTTATTCAACAAACTCGTTTATCAAATAATTGGACAATTGAAACACTCTTAGAACTCAATGTTCAGTATTCTTCCTCTGATGGTACTCCTCAGTCTGATCCTACTCTACCACACTATTGTTAATCTTACAATTACTCGTTCAAACATCTCTTATGTTATTCATATTGTGAGTCAGTTTGTCGCGCTCACTTACCACTATTCACTGAACTATTGTTCTCCACATTCTTCGATATCTTCGTGGTACTTTACACCAGAGTTTACTATTTTCTTACTCCTTAATGGAACTCGGGGCTTACGCAACTGCTAATTGGGTTGGTAACTCTATGGATCACAAGTTCACCACTGGTTTCTCTGCCTTTTTTTTAGAGATTCTTTTATTTTTTAGAAAAGCAAGAAACAAACTGTTATCGACCATTATTTTGTTGAGGTTAAGTATTGTGCTATGGCATCCACCACAGTTGAGATAGCCTAGTTATGATGGCTACTTGCTAATCTTAGCATTTCCCTATCTTCTACTACTCCTATGTACTGCAACAACACCAATGTTATTCAGATTGCTCACAAATAGGTCTTTCATGAGTGCACAAAGCACCCTATATAATTGATTGCCACTTTGTGCACCACCATCTTTGGGTGGGCACTATCACTCTCCCCCCTTCTTTTGTCCGACATGCAGATAACGGATTATTTTCAAAACTTCAAATCATAGATCACTTTTAATTTCATTTTGGCAAACTCCTGATATTTTCCACCACATCATGAGTTCTAAGTGGGCATTAGAGTATTGATATTGGGGATAGTTTAGATTTTTACTTTATTCTGTGTTGTCGAACTATACAAAGACCTACATTGTGTATTTCAAGTTAAGTTGGATTACAGACTTATTTAGTAATAATAATATTTTCTCTTTCTCTTTTCGCTTTGTCTTCTTTGACCAAATTTTTCACTATTTGCAACTTAATTTCCTATGGCCAAGTAGAGTTGGAAAGTATAGGAATTCTAAGGGATTTTCCTGATGTAAATTGGTAATGGTAATATGGAAAATGTACAATGCCTGGCCTGGATTCGTGGAAATGGGTTGTTGGCTCAACCAGATGGACAAACATGTGGACAACGTGAAGTGGAGCCTTTCTGGGGGGCAAGGGTCTAAGGGCCAACAGAGGATGAAGGTATTGGCATGGAAGGAGTTTGTAACTGTAGTTATTGCCGTGCAGGGGGTTACAGGACTTAAATGTCATCAATCAGAAACATTTAAAATACAATTTGAAAATATATGACCACAAAACCGAAAATTATCCAATTGCCTAGCCATTTATGACCTAATTTTCTAAAAGGGCTCATCTTTTACCAATACCATGAAGTCTTAAAATCATGAAGCACTCTCCTCCTAATATACAAACAGAGAGAGAGAGAGAGAGAGAAGCTTATTATAAAAATGATTCAGTGATTAGCTGTGTCCATAATATCTATCCTGCCTCAAGAACATTTAGAACTGAAAGGAAGATGCAAAAAATATACAAAGAAACTTATGAGACATATGCTTTATTCATTAAGAAATAAGGACAAGAACAGTGGCATATATTTCAAATAAAGGTTATACAAACTGAGCACAATCCTGCAGATTGTGTGTCACCATACCAGAACCAACTAACAATATTTAATATGTAACTTAACAAACCTTCCTTTTTAAAATCCACAAGAAGGTTGTATGCATTATGACTCTGCTTTAGCAGTAACAGAGGCTGTCCCGGGTGCATTAGAACAAATCCATACCTGATGAGGGGCAATTTTTCAGAAAATAACAATCTGCAATGGAACATAATAAATTTATTCATCATCACCTACTTTTTCTTGAAGTAGTCAGCAAAGGATGAATAACTTGAGGGACTTGCATCAGATTTCCCATCAAAAGGGCTTTCAGCAGATGAATTAGTAACGGCTTTAAGGACAGAATAAATTCTCCCAGTATGAATGGCCAAGACTACCATCTCCTTGAGGTCATTTATACAAATTGATTTATTGGCCAAGTGAATCACATTTGTGCTACTGAAATCAGTCACAACTGATTCAATTTTGTGAAGTGATGAATTCGCCATGTTACCACTCGATTGCTCAGCACTTAGCCAAGCATTTTTCTTCAAGAATTCTACCACCGAAACACAAGAGTTGATCCCCATCCAGTTAATTCTCCAAATTTGATGACTAGGATTGTTAAGTGACTCAAGGGGTAAAAGTAAGTACATGTTCGCTGGATTCCATAAAGATTCTTTTACTTGAAGTAAAAACCTTCTTTCTCCTGACAATTTGATAAACAACTTGCCAAATAACCCATTGAAGAACAGTTCTTGAAAACACTTTGCTTTTACCACCTGGTTACACAACAAAACAATACCACTGTGAGAATGGCTTCACATAAAAAAAGAGAATCCACATCAATATTACAGTTGTCTTCGGACCTGTTCTGCATCCAGATGTACTTGCCCACATGAAGATACAGATGACCTGACATACTTTGAAACTAAGTATAGCTCCACTTCGGCATTTCCAACATCATTGTCCAGTTTTGACTCAATCAGCATAACAAAACTAGAGTAATAGGCTTCAGAAATATTACAGGCAAAATGTATTTTGTATGCTTGAAAGGTGGCGCCATCAAGTTTGTCTCCCCAAGTCCCAGACAGCCCACGAATACAGGTTGTCCCATGTAGTTCCTTCCTCTTTGTTGTTCCTACAACCACCACAATAAAACACGCATTTAACAATCAAGATGAAGAGCATTAGCCATGTTATTCACATACATATCAGACTGAATGGATCATTTATGATCTGGACCCAATCTAACTTTGTAACATTTGGCAAGAAGGTTTTGATTCTTTAACCCAACGACAGCATCTGATATATCTGTTGTAACAGAGTGAACCCAGATTGACCTTCCAATATGGTAAGTATCGTCTACAATTTGAATATTAAATACATAGTACAACATCATATGCATATATAAGCTTCTGATGCATATTCAAACATTAGATCATAAGTTTACATGTTCAACACTGGATCCTACGTGATCTTATGATGAATATTTTCATGGCATGAAGCACAAGTTTTCCAAAAGTTCCATCCAATCTTTTGGACTCTCTATCCTCCCATCCAACACTCGTCTTGGGGCTTAATACTTATGTTTTCTAAAAATTTTTTTATCGATCTCTCTTCTCTCTCTCTCTCTCTCTCTCTCTCTCTCTCTCTCTCTCTCTCTCTCTACCTATATATGACACAGAACATAATTCGAACCTCCGATGTCTAAAAGTTGAAAGAAGAAATCAAAAATACCTCGAGGCTTTTCTAATACTTGAAGTACATAACTAATCTTCAAATCTCATATTACCTAGAGAGTATTACAGACACTATGTATCATCATCAAAGAGCAAATATTTTTTTACGAAGAGGCGGCCATTCATTAATGAACAATCGCTAATACATAAATTCATATAGCCTGACTGCACTACTTTCTCAACTGATTTAGTACAGTCTTCCCATGCACTTTAGTTGTCTTTTCAATTACAAGGAAGAATAAAAAGATAAAACTAACAAATTATGGTTAGTCTGATCTAGACTGGCTTTAGAGGGAGAGCAACCATGTGACATTACCACTCAAAACGAAATTAGCAGTACAAGTAAACTTGGCATCTAGGAATTATTCATCCTTATAATGCTCCGTTTAGTAGGACGGATGGAAAATAGGAGGAATATACTTTCTATCTTTCAAGGAAGGAAAGTAAGAATTATACACTTTCTTTCTTTTGTATTTGGTAGGATGGATGAAAAATAAAAATAATTAATTTTTTTTTTTTTGTGCTTGCTAAAATTAGGGGTGACAATCAAGCCGCATCGTGTCAGATTCGTGTTAAGTCATTACAAGTTCATGTCGAATATTAATCAAACCTAACTCAACTCATTTAACTAATGTGTCGTGTCGAGTTGACCTATTTATTTTCGTATCGTGTTCGTATTCATGTTCGTATTTGTTTTGGCTTACATAAACACTGAATAAAAAAGTTAACGCTAATATTCTATTTTCACTTAATTGAATCCATGCTCATACTTTTTCTACAAACTAAAAATTAACTTAAATAAATATAATAATAATAATGAGTAAAAATATCGTTTTTATATAATAATATGCTAATGTTTAATAAATAGTTACAAATAATTAACATTTTATATCTATAATACTAGTTAAAATGTTAATTTAGTATTAATTTTGTGTTACCATACAAACGAGAAAATAGAGAAAGTGTTTATTCTTAAATAAACGGATTGATTGTGTCAATTTTAGGTCTAACGGGTTGAACTAAATATGAGTCATTTATATATCGTATTCGTATAAGGTCATTTTCGAGTTCATGTTGAGTTATAATCAAGTTCGTGTCATAAAATTCGTATCAGAGTTCGAATCGTGTCATCGTTTTAAGTTAAAAAATTTCACCCCTAGCTAAGATGAAAAAATAAATTTTATTTTGCTTATATTTTTATTTAAAATTTTTTTAAAAAACATATAAATATATAAATGAAATTAATGTATACATAATATATGTATATATCAAAAGATATATAAACAAATAAGATACATTTCAACACATCATTAACTTTTTATCCATTTTTTCATTCTTCCTATTTTCTTTCCTTACCAAACATGATGTTTTATCTATCCCTCTACCTTTCCATCCTTTCAACTTTTCATCTTTCCATTTTTTCATCATACCAAACAGAGCATAAGAGTACCATGAAGGCAGTAAGAATTGCACGGCTAATGATATTTGAGTTGAAATTATGGTAAAATAACTTTGGAATGATTGTGTAATAATGAACTTAAAATTCTTAAGTTAATATTCATTTATATAACTATTCCAAGTTATATTGCACAGACTTAAGTTTATATTTGCATGTAATTCTAAATTTTATTCTTTTTTACTAATTTTCATGTAGAATCTTATGCAATGGATGATTTAGTTTTGGCATTATTAACTGATTGATTTGAAATCCCTTGTTGCCTATTCTCTGTCCCCCCGCACCCCATTCCTCTTGTTTTCTCTCCATTATTCTCATTCTCCTCCTCTTTCTTTTCTCTCTTCTTCTCATCTCATGAATCCTGCATCATGGAAACTTACAAGATCTATGTTTTCAAGTTTCTGAAATAGATGCATAATGGTGTTGGGATTTCAAGTAAAGCCAAGGGGTTTATGAACAGCTTCAATGGAGACACATTTCAGAAGATGACTTAACAGGGCTTCAGATTAGTAAAGATATAACAATAAGTCAATAATTATATTGACGGAGATTCAAACTGTTGTGAGATTAAGCTATCCATTGATTTGGTCAAGGATGCTGTTTTGGAGAGGAATAAGACATCAGGAAGTTTGCGTGTTCTTAACTTTGGTGGGTTTCTTTATATTGGTATATGGGATGGTTTTGAGGTTTGATTAAAGCACATGCAGTGCAACAAGGGGCTGTGGGATGAAAAGATCACCAATATTTCTATGACTTCACTAAATGGGTTTTTGGGGTAGTTTTGGGTTTTGATAAAAGTAGGACATGAGGATGCAACAAGGGTGTGTGGGATCTATGACTTCTCTTAGTTTTGTCTATAATAATTGTACTCAAAAGGTGACCAATGAATATCAGAGAAAACTCAAAGATAGATTCCCTCCTCTGCCAACCTATCTTTCAATGACTATATGGTATTTGCAATCACATGGTTCCTTGATTGGTATTAAATAAAAGAAAGAAAGGGATGAAAAGGTCAGGATTTTCAAAATTATTTTAATCCCCTTTGGCAAATAAGATGGGTCATTAAAAAACCTAGAATAGTGGAATTTCAGCAAATTATTTGAACTTTTTCCTATTGGTCTGAAATCGGATTTTCAGATGGCAGATATGCTTCTTAAAAGAGATGTATTTGGATTCGAGCAAGAGTAAACCGCCAGATAGCAAATCAAATTAGAATTTGCCCCAGTCTAATTCAAAGCCAACACTTTTACAGGGATGTACATTAGAAAATTTAGCCTAATTCCACATATGGCTAAAGGCTGATGGAAATACCTTGTAATCCACAAACCCAAACATCACTGGAGTACAGAAGCAAACTAAAACTAGTAGTTAAATTAAAAAGTTACTTAGCTTCAACTGCTACCAATGCACCTACTCTAGGATGTGAGGGTTAATATCAATGCTAAATTACTTGTGTGCATGCACAAAAGTGACTATGTGTACACATGAAAGTGAACGCCTGCATCTTTACCCATTAGTTTTGTGAACTTCTATTTATACAAACTGATAAATAAGCAGAGTTTCGTAACACGCTCAATTGTATACCACACAAGGTTCGAAGTATCGGCCGAGTCATATCGTATCTGCCTTGGCCATCACCGATCCGATACCGCTACGCGGTACACGAATAACACAAGACTCAAGCGAATCAGCGTTGACTCGGTCACGACTCGAAGATATCAGTTGAAATCGGAGTCGAATCATTTGAATCGGACCAAGTCATCGACACAACAGATCAGTGTAAAAAACCATAAAAAAGAGAAGAGGAAGAGAAGAAGACCAATTCCACATGCAGATTCACAGACCCAAAGATGTAGAAACTAACGTAGAAGAAATCAACAAACCCTAATACAAAAAATTGAAAGAATTTACAGAAAAACCTCTAGATCTTGTACATACAACGAACTGCGAACCAGCTCCACTAGTAGCTGTTCCAAGTTAGAGCTTGTATGGCGGCTCATGAGAACTACTCCAGCGAACTTGCCTGATCTGAGTTGGAGTTGGTCCAGTTCAGCCCACCAAAGTCTCCCCCCCTCTCTCTCTCTCTCTCGCTCTCTCGTTTTGTGCCTCTCTCTCTCATTTCACCTCTCTCTCTTCTCTTTCTCTGGTTTAGTTCCTCGTCCCCTAAGTAAGAGAGACCGAGTGAGAGGTGAGAATTTATTCTCACTTTATTTCACTTTTTTCTTTTTTTTTTTTGGTTTAGTCAGAATAGTTATATTATGTTAATTACACTTACAGCCCCTCTTTTTTCTTTTTTCCTGTCAAACAACAAAAGGACTGAAAAGTTTTTTTTTTTTTTTGTCCCCAATGGTCCCAAATGCTTGTCCAAATTGAGAACAAAATATTGCACATGTCCCAAATATTTTTGCATGTGTTTTCATTGCACATTGCACATAAATAATGACAAATGTTTTTCGGTAGCGCCCTTATTATTTTTTTTGTAATGATTAATACGTTAAATAATGTATTTTGGGTATATGATACATGAATGATAATATTTACATTTATTACAATTTTCTTGACTTTTTCGAACAATTTTGAGCCTTTTACATAGCATTTTGAGCGTATCGGCCGATACGGTGCCGCGACGCCACGACCGATGTGTCTCAGTGGCCTCCGAGTCGAGGTCTAATACCGCAACATTGAACCATGATACCACATGATCCACATTCACATACCAAAGCATGGGATTTTTTGATGTAATGTATCACATATTTTTGTAAAGAAGCAAAAATGAAGTCAGCTTTTGACATGCCTCTTTAAACTTAAAAAGATCCTCTAAGGAATCGTGTGTAGATTATCCCCAGGGGGCAAATTCAGCAGAGGTACTAAATGGCAACATTTTGTATGCCATTCAACTGCATAGATGCCCAGAGAAATCTATTTTGGAAAACAATGGGAAGTAGAATTCTAAAGAAGGCCAATATTCTGAAGGTATCAAACATCAGCAATATAATTAGACCTCTCAAGGGGATGTTCATGAACAAACATACCTGCGCCTGAAGACAATTCTTTGTTCCTGAGAGTTGAATCAGTTAGGGATGGCTCTTCATTGAAGGGGAGAAGATGATCACTGAGAGCCCCCATCTGATGCAACTTCTTACATGCATCCAAGCATACAAGCTGTTTCGATAAATGTGAGTTTCTAATTTCAGGACCAACTATTGTTTGAAAAGCTGCACTTGGTGGTAATGTGAGTTTACATCGATATGACTCCCCTGATAACAAGAATTGGAAAATTGGCTTTGGAGTGAAGTACCTAAGGAAAAAAGACTTTATTAGTCAACATTGAATCAGCACTCCAATACACAGTTTCATGAACAAGGGGGATATAAACACACGCGCGCATGGGAGTGCACACCAACACATGAGGCATAGGCAACTACAATTTCAAAAAAAAATAATAATTTGACAAAGAAAAATGTTCATACTTGTCTCTTGGGAGTTTTTCACAATATCTGTGAATGAGGTTCACACTAGAATCCGCAGTCACTGATGCTCCAGTTACCTCCACATGATATGCATCTACGTCGTTGTTGGCACAAGCTTTTAAAATGAAGGTGTCAGGATCCCTACTTGTCGTAGTATCTATCATAGAATACTCACTCCTAATGACATCAAATATTTGATCTCTTTGCTTTATGTTTCCCCTGAACATATATGCATAGTTAGAACTTGCAATACAGTATATATGTGAAAAAACATAGAATATAAGATTTATTTCAGCATATCTTCAACTCAAGTTAAATCCTCAAAGGAAAACCAAAATGCCCTCACCTCTCGAGCATCATGAAAAATTGGGAGTCATTTTGACGAGCTCGTCCTCGTGATTGGACATAACTACGAACTGTCTTTGGCAGGTCAAATCTTATAACACAGGAACAGTCACGCACATCAATTCCCTCCTCAACCACGTCAGTCGCAAATAATAGGTTGACCTAACATTCAATGTACGATTCATTGAACAACAAAAATGATATTGAAAAACTTCCTGAAAGCCATCAAATAACATAAATACCATAATATACCTTCCCAGACCGAAATGATTCCAAAATTTCTTTCTGCAGTTTCGGAGCCAGTGCATCAACTGATGAGTTACTTCCAGTCAAATGTGAAACCGTGAAATGAGACAGGCATGCAATTTTCTTAATGAATCTTTCAATAACTTTTGCTGTCATAATTCTTTCAACAAAAGTGATGCAGAGTACTTGTGTATTTTTACTGCACCCATAAAAATTGAAAAAGGAAAAGGAAAAAATAAGGTGCAAAAATGATGTAATGGATGTAACAACTAATAAACCAACTACAAAATTAATTACCCAAAGGATTGAAAAATTTGGAGGAGTTCATGTAGTTTCGGAGATACATAGCCCATGGCAACTGACTTTGGAAAATCATATCCAACATCTAAAAGCTTCTCATGATCTGAAGAGATGACAAGAAACTGATATCAATTAAGAACTGAAATTAAAAGAGAGGTCAAACCCTAACAGATTGATATGTAGAAAACCAGTTTCACATCATTAATGTAATGTAGCCATAAACCAATGCACTAGGGGGTACTAACATCATCATGCATACATTGACATCATGCTTACATCAGTATGTAGCAACAAAAAACTAGGGCTAGGGTCATTTTTTCATGGGAGTCATCTCTACTGATCTTTTTTTCAAAGTTTTGACTGTTACTGCTCCAAGTTTTGACTGTTACTGCTCCTAATCCCGTCAAAGTGGTGCAACTTGGCTTTGAGGGAGTTTTTTTCCTTTTCTTTTTTTGCAACACATGGCAATTGGAAGACATTTTGTGATGGTCGATTTCGCATTGTTGGATCTACATACATGTTGTGCCAATATATATTAGAGATTAGCTAAAGTTTTGGCCCATGAAACACAGATTCGGATACAAATCCAGGATACGATATGATACGATCCAAAAAAGGAAATACGACAAAACTCTAAAAACTAGGATATAGGAACAACTAGGATATGTCTAATAATATAATATATTTTATATTTTTATACTGCCAAAAACTATTTTTATTGTTATATGATATATGATACATATAATTCCAAAAGAAAATAAACAAATGATTTCATTTGTTCAAATTTTTCATCTGAATCTGACCCAATGCATTGCTAATTTTCTCTTCTTAAAAATATTTCTGGTTTACAAATAATGTAAACAGAACTGAATTGGGTGACTGGGACTTACTGGGAAAAAGAAAAAAGAAATATTGCAGTGCAAAATCATTTGGGAAAAGAAGGACGATTGATTTTTTAGTTTCTTGATACAAAATGAGAAAATTTATTTTTTAAAGTTTAAACACATGGCAGACAAGTTGATAAGGTGTATTCCCATTTTTGGTTGATACATTGACACATAGACATCTTATCTTCTACTTTTCCCGCACGTGGCATTCTTTCACAGCAATTGAAAGCATATCTTTTCTCTCTCTCTCTCTCCCCTTTTGAACTCAAAAGGCGAAAGCTCCGGCAAATCCGATAGACCATATGTCAATGACAACCATTGATTAAATTCTCCAAGTATCTAAACACAACACTAATGAGTGTCATAAACGAAGCATTGATCTTCATCTCTGTTCTTTTCTGATCATTATAGCTACACATATCCATAAGTGTTTACCCAATGTATTACAATATCGCAGACGTATCTGAAAATAGAAATAATGTTATTAGTCATAGGAGATGTGTTTGACGTATCTGATACGTGAATGGGTGTATCAAATGCATATCTGTATCCGATAGATATTAGATATGGGTATGCTGGCCTCTCTCACGTGTATTGGGCTAGTTTAATAGCCAAAATGTAAACCTATGCCAAAAATTACAACAGCTAAGGTTCATAAACACTAATTATCTAGTCTGCTACCTAGATGACACTATTGCTAAACCAAAAAAGAATAGATTCCCTCTTTCTAAATGGGAAGTAGAGATGTCCGCTGTAACATCCTAGCTTGTTCATTACAAGCAAGTTGAGACCAAAAATGTATACTTGTTCTCGAGAACACCAAAAGAAACACAAGATGTTATTCCTTAGACTTATTCCTAGATGGTATATGTCACTTACATTTATGACTTGGAGAACACAATCCATTACCACAAATAGAGGGATATATTCTAGCTGCTTAATTATAGTATCCTGTAAGTACTGTGTAGTAGTTGGATCCATAGTTACCAAAATTCACGAAATGGCAATCCACGATCTGGGTATATCAATCCCAAATGGGGTTAGTTTGTGATTCAAATCACCAAAATATACGACCCTAAATTATAATACTAACCCAAAATTGTTTCGCTTTGAAACATGTAACACAAAATAAAATATATATTAATTGACTATGTGTATATTGATTTATAATTACATATTATTTTACATAATAGAAAATCGAGCACAAATATAAGATCAATGGTAATTGACTTAGCATTTATGAATATTTTATGATATATCATGTTGTATAGTAGTGAAAACGATCTACATAAGAATTCCAAAAAGAATTGTGACTAAAAACACCATATCAGCTAAGCCTACCCCCATCGTATCTAAAAAAGTGTCGTACTGCATTCCTGTACCTATACCAAGTACCAAAGCGACCACAATTCAGGCAACATTGGTAGGATCAGGATTAGATATTCCAAATATAAACATAAGCTTATATTTTGAGTTCTTAGCAAGGAATATGAAATGCAACTTGATCGAAGACCTCTGTTGCAAGTCCCACCAATCTATGTATTGGACAAGGGCAACAGGGTATAAGGCTAAAGAGATTTTCACTTACTCGATGACAAAAAATTTTGAGACCATTGATCCTTCTCACGCGAGCATTACAATGATCAATCAAAAGTGGACAAGTCGTCCACTTTTGACAATCCTTCTCACGCCAACTACTAGTTGGATAATTCAAATCCAAGTAATGATTCTCATCCTCAAACAAGTCTTACCCCTCCTGATTTGGATAGCACTGAATTCCTATGGAAGGGAGTACAATCTTGCACTCAACATTTTATTTTGAACTTTGTAGCCTATCACTTACTCTCAACTTTCAATTATCCTTTATATCCTCTATCTTCTATGTCTACTCCAAGAAATCAGAGAGATCCCTTTCGAGATCATTAGTGGAAGACAAATATGGTAGAAGAGATGAGAACCCTTCATAAGTGTAACTCATGGTACCTTATAACTCTTCTTAACGAAAAAGAAAAGTTGCGTGCAAACAAGGATTAATCGTAAACCATAAGGTAAATGGTTCAACACAGGTATAATTAGACTATTAGCCAAATGTTTCACTCAAACCTCTGTTATTGATTGTCAAGACACCATTGCAATATTTGGTAAGATCAAGTTCATTAGAGCTACTCTCCTTAGCAACAAATTTGGGGTGACCTCCTTAACGACTAGACCTGAAAAATGTCTTCCTACTTGGTGATTGTTGTAAATTGAAGAAATGTCTTCATAACTTGAAGTAATCTCCTAGAGCTTGCTTTTAAATATTTAGTAGTGCTATGAAAAGCATAAATATAAGGAAAGGGAAACTAATTACACTCTCTTCACCAAAGATTAGTGCTTATAGCCTATAAAACTGATATTGTCATAACGGGTGATAACATTGAAAGCTTTGAAGTTATCTTTGAGCAATGAATTCTAGATAAGGGGCTTGGACGACTTAAAATATTTCCTCAAGAACGAGGTTGCAAGACAGGAGAACGAGAATTTCTATTTCTCAAGAAAAGTATTTCTTAGACTTGTTAAAGAATTCAGGAATGCTTGGCTTCAAGTCATGTGATATTCTTATTGAGCCAAGTCATATAGTTAGCAAAAATATTGATAATACGATTGTTAAAGAATTCATGAATGCTTGGCTGCAAGTCGTGTGATATTCTTATTGAGCCAAGTCAAATCATTAGCGAGAATGTTGACAACACAACAGTTAATACTAGCAGGTACCAAAAACTTGGGGACAAGTTCAATTATTTATCATGGTTGGCTTTTGTCTATGTTGTGAGAGTGGTAAGCCGGTTTATGCATTCTCAACAGTAAACCCATTTAGAGAAAATCATTAGAATTATTCGATATATAAGATTAGCACCTGAGAGATATCATTTAATTCCCACACTATCATTTGAGGTTGGAATCATAACACATGCAAATTAGGAAAGGTTAGCCTGAGAGTCAATCTACTTCAGGGTACTATATGTTTAATGTAGGCAACACTCTAACAGAAGTCACATCACTCTAATCTATCTTTCGTCCAAAACCTAACCCTAGCCGTCGCCCCTAATCCTAACCGCCACTTCCCAACAACCTCACCAATGCCCAACCACCTCGCCCAAGGCAGTCAGTGCCAATGTCCAAAGAAGCAAGCACTAGTACCACAAACACCCAGCGCCAACCTCTTCGCGTTGCTAGCTTCTCTTTTCCCTAGGGTTGAAGCATCTAAGAACTTTTAAGAGGGTCGGATTCCCTCTCTACTTTTGATGCAGTAGATCACCTATATATATTTTTTCCTAGATTACTTGGCTTCGTGACCTGTTATTTGGGAACTTTTTGAACCTTCTTTACTTGTTGCTATTGTTCGACTTTAGGTATATTGTTCTCTCTTTGTTTTTTCTCTATTTATCTTAGAATAGTTTCTATCACAGTTGTCACATTATTGTTACTACTATGGACACTAGTGAGAGACTTAAGACCCCTGACGTTAGCACTTTCACTTGGGATGGATTGCCCATTTCTGTAGGGATTACCCTTCCACTTTTATGTTTGACCAGTATATAGTATCTACTGCCACAGTTACATTATTGATAGTGCCGGGTATGATTTCTCAGAAGGTTATGACACAGTTATTGAAAGGTCGTAACTTTGCTAAGTGGTTAGCTCTTTTCAACTTTTCTTAGGGCGTGTTGAGAAGCTTGGTTGGCTGAAAGGATTGTACTCAAAGCCAGCTAATGACAACCCTAAATATTCTGCGTGGGTATTGAAGAACGACGCTATTCTTTAATGGTTATTTGGCTCTATTAAGCCATCTGTTTGCAGGATTCATCAATTTTATAACTCTGTTCCAAAGATATGGAGCATATTACTAGAGATGTATTCACAGTCAGGTCGTAGAGTTCGTGTTTATGAACTTTCTCAAGAGCACTCATATGCTCGACTGGGAGATATGACGTTTAAGACTATTATGCCTATTTGACTTAACGTTGGCTTGAGTACGAGACTCATACGTGCTCTTGCTGCTATTCCAAGGATAGAGCTCAAGAAAATGGCGTTTCTGCATACTTAAGAACAGGAGAATAAGATTCACAAGTTCCTTATAGGGTTTCATGACGAGTTTGAGGGACCTCATTCTTAGATCTTATCGATGTTGATGCTTCCTTCTCTTTATGAGGTGTATTCTATGATTAAGCAGCATGAGTGTTGTGTTCGTATTGCATCACTTTCAATTACGACCTTGACTCCTCAAGTTTACCATATAGCCCTTATAGTTGCTACAGGACCTCACTCAGGACCCTATCCACAAGTGAAAAATGTTTGGACCAATGGCGACAGAGGGCCCCAGACCAGCGCAGACAAGGTGATTCTTGCCAATGTAATTATTATGCCTTACCAAGACATCTTAGGACTGCTTGCTAGAAGCTCCATCTTGAGCTTAAGTTGCCTCATCTTGCTCTTTAAGGCCATACTGCCACTATTAGTGAGAGACCTATTACTACTGTTGTTGCCCCTCCTTGGCAGAGTGATATGGATGCTCTCACTTCCAGATTGGATTTACTTATGTCTATCCTGACTTCTCAGGGTCCGACTACTACTGCTACAACTACTACAGGTATACCTCGTGTCTTTCATGCTTACACCAGTCCTTCTCCCCTTTAGATGCTAGACTCGAGTGCGAATGGTCACATGACGAAACTTATCACTTCGTTACTTTCAATGAATAGTTACACACATAGGTTCAATTAGCAGATAGGACTCATGCCCCTATTGTTAGTAAGGGTACAATTCGCCTTCCAGATGGCCTTACATTACATTTGATTTTTTATGCACCAAAGCTAGCTATGAATCTATTATCCGTACATTTGTTAGCAAGAGATTTTTATTGTAGAGTTGTGTTTTTATTTAATTCGTGTTATTTGTAAGACCTAAGTATCAGGAGGACTATTATCACGGGACATGAGAAAGATGGGATGTACTATCTAGGCAATCCACCTCCAATTCCTACACTACTCACACCTACTTTATCTTTATATATTCCTAACATGCATACTAGTATTTTATCTAGTACTTGTCGTTATAATTTTTTGTCACAAACTATTCAATTGTGGCATAACCGTTTTGACAACACAAATTTTAAATATTTATGTATGTTATTTTCTACTTGAGTAATACTTGTGCTAATGGTAAACTT